GAACCTGAAAGAAAAAAAAAAAAAAAGAACCTGAAAGAGTAAATAAAATCTGCAAGTTACAATAGATACTGTGAAAGGGAAAGAATCTGTTCAAAAGGAAGGAAAAACTGGAATGAGGAAAGGGAGGGACAGGGAGGGAAAGGGGAGAAAGATATATTACATGCAAGTGGGCAGGACGGCTTGGATTTCTGTTGCTTTACAGAGGGGAGAAGTTGATGCTTAATTTTTTCTCTCTTTATTTTCTTGTCTTTTTAAATTTTTTATAACTTTTTTTCCCAAAATTGTGGGCTTATATCTGACAATCTGAACAACTAATTTGAAGACCACATTATGCGATACAGCAGCCACTGTTAAATTCCTATGGGTTTGTTTGATGAAGTTCTAATGTTTTTGTTTTTACTATTTTGTATTCTCTTTAGATAATAATTTTAAGAAGAGAATTTAAAAATATACAAAGCTGTGATGGGCTATTTCACCAAAGAATATATGCTGAGGAAAATAAACACATCAAAAGATATTCAGCACAAGGGCTGGGGAAATGGCTCAGTGGAATAAGCACTTGCCTGGCAAGCACAAGGGCCTGAGTTCAATCCCCGGTTCCACCAAAAGATATTCAGCACCAGTAGTTATTAGTTCAGCATAAATAGCCATTAGTCAATAGAAATGCAAAGAAAAGCCTCGGAGATGTACCACTAAGCACACATCCAAAATAAAAGCACAGTGACCACGCGAATGTCTGGGGAGAAAGCGTGGAAACTGGATGAGCTGTATACGCCTGAGGAAAATCAAAACTCATACGTCCTCTGGTGGGCATCTTAAAAAACCTGAACATCTGACAGCCAGGGCACACTGAGATGCAGATTGAGACTGGGTGTGGTGGCACATGCTTGTAATCCCAGCTACTGGGGGCTGAAAACGGGAAGATCACTACGAATCCTACCTACATAGTAAGATCCTGTAGACCCTGTAGACCCTATACCAAATACATTTTTAAAATTCTATTTAGAAAAAAGATAGAAATTAGCTGTTAACAAATGCAACAACTTGGATAAATCTCTAGAGAATTATGCAAAGAGGGGAAGGACACTACAGTTATTCATTGCCTAATTCTCTTTTTTAATTTTTAAAATGTATTTATTTATTTGGTACAGAGTCTCGCTATGCAGCTCCGACTCGGAGCGATCCTCCTTCCCACCACTGGATTACAGCACGGGCCACCATGTCTGGTTTCGGTAGCCAGCACAGCACACCCGGCTTGGCAAGCAGTCCTGGGGATTGAACCCGGGTCCTTGCACTTGCCACCTGTCTCCCCAGCCCTCGATCTATAGTCCTATTGTGTGCCTAAAACAACCAAACTACAGCAATGAAGCAAAGATCGGCATTTTCCAGGGGCACATGGGGAGCTAGCAGGAGCAGCGAGGCTCCGAATGACACGGGAGGACCCGTGGCAACTCTGCACTTTGATGGGGCTGATGTCCCTTCTCGAGCTGTGACACTATAGCTTTGAAGCGGGTCACTAGGAAAAGTGAATTCAAGATTCCCTGAAATCTCTTTGTATTGTTTCTTACAATGAATCCATAATGACCTTAAAGTCAAGTTTAAGTTAAAAATCACAACAGCCGCTCACACACTTTCAAACGCATCGGACTTCCGTGGCGCAGCTCCGCAGAGTCATGCCCGCCCGCAAGAGGACGGGCTCGGGCGTGCGCTGCAAGACGCGTCCGCGGGACTCGGCTTTCCCTGCAAACCTTGGAAACGTCTCCGCCGCCCACTCGGAGTCACGGCTCTGTGGAGGCTCACCGTTCCGTGCGACGTGCAGTGCGTGGGACTCGAGGTGAACAAAGGGGTCAGTGCACACTTTCTGCACACCTGTATAGGACACGCCCCAAACAAGAAAGCAGATGGGAAGTGCTCCTGTCCCGGGTGTCCCTTTCTAAGGACGAGGAGGAGGTGAGCAAAATGAAAGCGAGAAGTCTTTCCTCTGGCCCTGGGACCACCCTTCGCTGCCTGCTCAGCGACACCGGAGTGACCCAGCAAGCAGCATACACTCCTCTTCTGCACTTGAAGCAATACTAAGCCTTGTTGTAGGGGCTTGGGAAGCCGGGCCTCCCTCCCGCCTCCAGAGTGCTTCCACTTCTTTCTTTCCTTTCTTTTGCTGAAGCCACTAGGAAGAGCACAGGCAGGGCCCTGGGGACCCTCCTTCCCACCGCGCTCGGGGACCCTGTGGACACCCCTCATCCACTTGTCCCAGCCACGTTTCCTCTTGCCTGGCCCAGCTCGCGGTTCTCTACCTGCCCAGCTCTGCTCTGACCGCAGCCAGCTTGGCTCCTGCCAACCGAGCCAAAGTCCCCAGCGACCCTGTGCCGCAGCCGCAGCCACACCCTCTCCCTCCAGGTCCAAAAGCAGCCACACGACGGGCCCCTCCTCCCCGCTTCATCCCTATCTGCTTTCCTGCAGCGTGATCTATTTATTCTCTAAACTTGGCACTTGCGTTGGCGATTGTTCACTCGGCCAACTTTCTCTGCTCAGTTTATTGTGCAGTTTGTCTCTGGATGGGTCACTTGTTCATTTAATTACATGTGTTTTTACAGTTCAACGGCTTCTATTAAATTCACTGAGTAGTGCAATCGTGTAATTGGTTTAAAAATATTTTCCTTTTTTAATCTTTAGTTTTTTATTTGTTCATGTTTGCAGGACAAAATAATTACACTCCTCGGGGCAGTCAGCATGTGCACGCAGTGCAGCTCAATTCAACTTTTTAGTTTAATTATACATTATTTTAAAAGGTGATAAGTGCTACAGGGAAAAAGTAAGTGGAATAAAATGGTCAGTGTCTACGAGGACAAGAAGGTCTTTATGATTGAAATGGAGTGAACCCACTCAGCCTCCCCAGGGTGATATTTGAACAGAAAATATAAGATCATGGAGGAAATGAGGCCTGAACTAATTGGTGGGAGAGCTGGCCAGACGGGAGGTGTAGAGTCCAGCCCTGAGGGGCAGGGCGTGGGCCACGTGACCCAAGGGTGTGAGACGGAGGAAGGCTGAGGAAAAGCGAGCTCGGAGACAGAGAAGATCTGACCACGGTGGGCCGTGGCGGCAGGAGGACTTTGGCTTCTACGCGAAGTGAAATGTCACATCCTAGAGGGCTCTACAGAGCCAGGAGGGTCACATAGAAAGACAGATAGATAGACAGACAGACAGATGGACAGACGGACAGACGGACAGACAGACAGACAGACAGACAGACAGACAGACAGACAGACAGACAGACAGACAGACAGATAGATAGATAGATAGATAGATAGATAGATAGATGATGGATGATAGAAAGATGATAGACAATAGATAGATAATGGATGATAGATGATGGTTGATAGATGATAGATTTAGATAGATCAATAGATAGAGGCAAATATAAAAGCAGAAATACCAGCTGGAAACATATTTTGATGGTCTGCAATAGTTCAGCCCACAGTCACCACGTGGTGACACCTACCTGGGTCACCCTGGACCACCACTCCAGGGCATACACTCATAGTCCCACCACAAGCCATAATGCAGTCTGAACTATAGAACGATTATTTGTAGACAATGGACACAGAGAGTGCAGGCTGTGGTCCCAGAGGCAGGGCAGCAGGGGAGGTCCTCTGTGTCACACAGCTCTGTGACTATAGGGAACTCCAACGTCGTGGCCCAGAGGGGACCAAAGGTGGTCTCACTGCATGCACAAGACCAAGGAAGGCTTTGGGAACAGCTGTGGTGACCAGAAAGTGAGACAAAGACCCAGAGATGACAGCATCAGGGGGAAGGGCCTCAGAAGAATGCAGAGGGTCCCACGGGCAGCTCCCAGCCTGCCCACCCTCAGGGTCGAGGGCAGCGCCACAGGCCAGGGATGCAGCTTCGGGTCAACAACAGTCCTGGGAAAGGCGAGGGAGCCAGTACCCAACAGCTCAGCTGCAGATGGTAGCAAGGAGCCAGGACAGTTCAGGAGAAGGCACTTCATCAGGTGGCTCTGGGACAACTGCCTCCTACTACAGGACAGCGAGGTTCGACCTCACCTACCACATGCAAAAGCTTACCCAAAACGAATCAAAGACTTAACTGTGGGAGCAAAACTGTAAAGCTCTGAGGCATTGCAAGCCTTCAGGACCTCGATCTGGACAATGCGTGCTTATATATGCAAACCAAAAGACAGAGAAAAGAGAAAATTTGGACCTAATCAAATTGACTTTCATATATAAAAGGGCTCTGCTAACGAAGTGAAATGACAAAGTACAGTATATGACAAAATAGGAAGAAGTCACATCCATAAGGGTCGAGTGGCAATAATATGTAAAATATTCCTCATGCTCCACAATAAAATTATAAACAACCCCATTAAAAATAGGCAGCAGGGGGGCCTGGCCCTAGCTCAGTCCTTTCAGTGGCTGCTTCCACAAAGCTGTCAGCCTCAGGTTCCTGGAGTTCGAACCTCACAACTCTCCCGCTG